AACATGACTCAATGCGAATAAATTTTAGCTGTTCTGCATACCCAGTCCTGAATGCGCGCTTTTAATTGGTTTTTTTTGTAGATGTCGCCCTGTTTTCACTCGGACTCCGGCTGTTTATAAAGTAGAAGTACATTGGTTGGCATAAAAAATGGAAAACTTGGGATAAACTAACAAATTCTCCCTCATTGCCTAATCCTTTACAGATTAGCCTGGATTACAATATGTGTATTGAAGAAACTGAAAAGTTGAATCTACTGCTACAACAAAAATAAAACGTAGCAAGTATGTAAAATATTTGCCAGAACATCGCGCGAAAATAGCAAAATGCGCTTTTGAATATTAAAACCGCCATTTTACTATTTTCTAAAAGCTGTGGAGAAATGTTAATGAAAGTACAATCAGAAACAATGCCTACGCTCTATAATTTTGGAAAAACTTGCGTTTTTCACCAAAGAAATCAACGGAAAATATTTTTTTAAAACACCCCCTTTCCTTTTTACAGCAATTTTGAATTATTATTTAACAAATTCATACCAAAGCTCTTGTTGTTCCCGAGGGTGGGGGTGGGGGATTTGTTTACAGATAAATTACATGAGTTAAACATATGGAAAAAATGAAGGATCATTTATCCATGTCTATGAGTATTTTAAAATCTCTTGATGTTTTAAAGCCTGATTTCAATGGATATACATCTTCTAGACCCCTTATAAAAAGAGTTGTGATTAAGAGCAATGAACAATTTGACACTGGTATTAATAATGTCATGTTGTAATTTTTGAATTTACCGGGTGGTAGTAAATACAACAAGAGGCTGGGCCACATCGCTCACCTGAGCTCATTGGCTAGGAAGAAGCAGTAATCAGTTCAGTATTGAAGGGGGAGGGGGGGCAAATTTTAATTTAAACTTCCTCAGGATGCATCCATATCAATATCACTAATCATGGCTTTGCTGTTCTTAAACAGAAGAATTTTCAAGATTTTTTTCCTATGTTTTCCACCGTCATGATAGCTCATTCTCTAGAGCTCTGGCTCCGTGATCTAAAGGTAAGGGGTTCGAGCCCTGGCCGCGACTGATCTAATTCGATAAAAAAAAAAATAGGTAGCAACTGTTCCTTCGCCAAGCGCTCGGCACTTTGAAGTGAAAGTTGCGGGTCCTTCAGATGAGACCTTAATGACCGAGGCCCCGTGTCACGGCAGGCGTAAGCACAATAAAGATCCCTCACTGCTCAATGGCCCTGAGTGCCGAGTAAAGGTCTAAATTTGAAGTCCTTCACCGGTATATGGTGAAGTCTCTATATGAGTGAAAAATTCTTGTACGGAACGTAAAACAACATACAATCAATCAATCCTATGTTTTCCTATGTAAAACTCTGATCTCTCATTGTGGCCCCACACTACCCACCCTAAATTTGAACAAATTTGAATCTACACTACCAAAGGATGCTTCTATAATAATATGACTAATCATGGCTTTGCTGTTTTTGAGCAGATTTTTTCAAGACGATTCCTATATTTTTTCTGATGCAAAACTTAATTGACCCTCTGTTGTGCCCCCATGATTTGAACAAACTTGATTCTACAATACCTAAGGTTGCTTCTATATAAATATGACTAATAATAAGTGGTTCTTGAGAAGAAGATTTAAAATGTAATCAACTAAGCAGTAATTAATTAACAAAGATTGCACTGAAGTCTAAGGAGACAAGCGATTTTTCTTTTAAAAATAAATATTCAAATAAAAAGAATATTAATAAATACTGTGGTGGAAAGATGCTTAAAACATTAGAAATAGAATGACAATTGAAAACGATTTTTTTTACCAGATAATTTTTTTATAATTGAATTTTTCAAATAAAAACAAATGGAGATAACCCTTACCAAAATTCAAGGTCATGAATTAGGACACATCCCACCCTTATATGCTAATAATAATAAATGTGAATTATGTCTAAATATACTGAGTATTAAACACCGACATATCTGTCGTGTATTCAATTTCATTGAATCTTTTACGATTAGGGATGGAATACCTTAACTTCTTCATTGCTGATTCAGCATCCAACTTATTCTGCTAACTTCTGAATGCCTGACTTTCCCAAAACTTTGGCTTATATACCCTTTGGTTTGGCTAGTCCATTCCAAGGGTTGCCAGGTCATTCCATTATTTAAGGTCTTCAATGCATTTTACTCGAATGCCCCTTAACCATTACACCTATATATTCCTATGTAAAACTCTGACCCACTGTTGTGGCCCTGCCCTATCTGTGAGGGTCTTGATTAAACAAATTAGAATCTACATTACTTGAGGATACTTCTATATTAATATGACTAATAATGGCTAAGCTGTTCTTGAGAAGAAGATTTTTAAAGATATTTCCAATATATTCCTATGGTGAACTTTGACCTCCTGTTGTGGCCCTGCCCTACTCCCAGGGGTCAAGACTGGAACAAACTTGAATCTACACTACCTGAGGATACTTCTATTATAATATGACTAATCATGGCTTTGCTGTTCTACAGAAGAAGATTTTTAAAGACATTTCCTATTTATTCCTAAGTAAAACTTCGAACCCCTCTTGCGGCCCTGCCCTACCTCCGGGGGTCATGATATGAACAAATTTGAATCTACAGTATGTCATGAAGTTTCATCCTTTCTTGCCCAGTTGTTCTTGAGAAGAAGATATTTAAAAGAAGCCACCAAATTTTCACGAATTCTTAATTATCTCCCCTTGAAAGAGGGCACGGCACTTCCTGTGAACAAACTTATATTCACCCAAGAATGCTTTGTGGCAAGTTTGGTTGAAATTGGCCCAGTGGTTCTTGAGAAGAAGTAAAAAATGTGAAAAGTTTACGGACTAAAGACGACAGATGGACGCTTGACACTCTTTGATCAGAGAAGCTCACTTGAGCCTTTGGCTCAGGTGAGCTAAAAATTACAATATCACAAGTTGTAATATTGTAATTTTGTGTCTACTTCCATCCGGTAAATTCAAAAATTACAATATGACAGTAATATAATTCAATCTTGTTTGCAATATGAAAAAAATTAATGGCAAAATTGTCATTTTTATTGAACAAAGGGGTGTAAAATATAGGCTGGAATCGAGAGTTAGTGTGCGTAGTTCTTTGCCATACTCTCCCCATGGCCTTCTTTTAAAACGTAATGATGAACTAGTGATATTGTATGTTCGAGTACATATCAGGGTGCTGTGAATTCTCAGATGCAGGTCTCTTGAACTAGGCAAGTAATTTTATTCAGTGATAAAAAAAACTCTACTGAAAGTAAATGGGGGGCCATTTGATGTCAAAAACGACTGAGCATTCATATTGTTTCTTCTAGAACACATGGGTTTTCCAAAAAGAAAAAAAAATGGGTATTTAAGGCGAGATATTTTCTCGCATGATTCCGCGGACATCAAATCAACATTTAACAAACGAATTAGAGACAATGTTCAGCAATATCCCTCCTCCTCCCCCTTCGACCAATGTTGAATATATGTCAATTTTTGTAACAATGATATTTGTAATTTTAATGTGTAACATGGCATTGAATATAGTATACCCATGTTTTGATAGAAAGTTCCCTTCTCAAATTGCTATTTTTGTAACCATGGCAACACTGTTCATTGAAATAAAAATACTAAAATATTGAATTTTGTATCTTAGTGTTCTTTACATGTGTACCAAATTTTATTGAAGTCAGGCAAAAACTGTAGGAGGGAAAGCGATTTGAAAATTGCTGAATATAGTATACCCGTGTTTTGTTAGGAAATCCCGTTCTCAAAATTGCTATTTTGTAACCATGGCAACGCTGTTCATTGAAATAAAAAAAACTAAAATAAAGAATTGTGTATCTTAGTACACCCTAAAAGTGTACCAAATTTTGTTGAAGTCAGATAAAAACTGTAGGAGGGAAAGCGATTTGTAAATTGCTTATAACTACGACAATCAGACAGCTGTAAAGCCAAAGTCTTACGGATGACGGACATTGTGTTATTGTATAAACTCTTTCTATCAAATAAAATTGACCAGTATAACTAAAAACTAATTGTTTGCATGCTTTGTTTTAATAGTATCACTAAATCCTCTGTTATGGAAACATTATTTGTAAATTTGTTTGTATTTCTGTGATGTAAAAGGGGAGAAAAACACATATTTTGGCGATTATTGGTCTCATTCGTTGCCATGGCAATCACGACGTCATTTTACTCTGCATAATTAATTACTTTAAGATTTTACCTTTCAGAAAATGTATAGGTTGCTTTATGTAAAAGTGACTAGAAAATGTTAAAATTTCAATTTGAAATTTTTAGGCAGTCTTTCAGAAAAAAATGCAAAATCTCTGGTAGTTAAAGGGTTAATATCCCTAGTTTTAGTACAAATAAAAGCCCTTGGGCCAAGGATACTCCGACAAATTTAACAAAAATTGACTAAAGGGTTCTTGAGATATGGCCCATTTTCCAACAAGTTTACGCACTCCTGAAAAATGTTCTCAGAAATTTTACAGTAACAAAACATAATATACTTCCAGAGCTTTTCAAAAATTATAGTGATCTGTAAAGTTATATGTTCTCTTTTTTCACCAGATTATGTGGCTTGGCCAAACATAAAGTTGTTTAACTATACGGTATCACTTCTTTAGTGAGAGAGGCACCTATTTAAGAAAAGATATTTGAATTTTGAAAGAAAAAGTGTGTGCTATTCTGTCAACCTATTCTGTGCTATTCTATCCTCAGCTGTCATTTTCCCTGGCTGACCCCCTCTTTGAAAAGCTATGCTACGTGCCAATGTTCAAGTAGTGTCACATCTTAAGAACAAACATGTCCTTGATTAAAATACTGACCTGGTTTTTAAATGCATGAAAACAGACCTATTTTGGTGAACAAGCTTTGTAGTGTAAAGCATTAAAGTATTAAAAAAAAAATACTGTATACTGCAATAGAAGATGGGCGAACAAGGCGAGCAAAATGCCTCTTAAGCAACAAGTAAGAGCTTAAATCTTAATTATAACAAAATTTTATTAAATATCAACGTATACTTTATGTGAAGTCTCCATAAATCGCAACAATCTCAAAAAGATTGAAATTATTTGTCTATGAAAGAGCATAAATATACCAAAGAGGACAAAAACACAAATTTTCTTTTTTGGAAAGGTTGTATTCAAGTACAAAAACATGGAGCAAAGACCCACTATGCCTTAAAAATACACTTTTATGACACATTTCTTTCTGAGAAATATTTTAGGTCCATTTTAGTTAACAGTCATATCACAAACATGATTTATGACTATATTTGTTACCTGATGTAAGATTTTCCGTTTTTGTTCCGTTCCACGTTTTTAGCAACATCCTCTATATGCCACCTCAACTGGCTTCATGATCACAAATATGAGTGTTTATGATATATCTTTTTCTTACATATCTTCAGAATATTTTATCCAAAATAATTAGTAATATGCAAGGAACATTTTCTTCATAAAAATTACATATCATGAAAATTACATTTCATGGCAAAAGCTCAAATAATACTTAAGTTATCATCTGGAAACCATTTTTTACAATATATTAATTTCTGACCTTGACTTTTGACCTCAAATTCAATAGTGGTCTTCTTTAAGTCATCTGAAGTCTCAAGATAATATTTCACTGCAAAAGCTCAAGGACTTTTTGCGATATTATCTGGTATCTAAAGCATTACACACAGAGTGACAGACAGAACCAAATTTATATTCACCATTTTCAATGAAAACGTTTAAATGGGAAGCAAAAATCAGCATATTTGATAAGCTTGATAATGATTCACACTTCAGATATACACACACATGCTTGACCAGGGATTATCAAATAAATTTTCAAGGCAAAAATCAGGAAAAAATTTTAAAACTTATGAAGCTGTATCTTCCACAACATATTCTTTTATAAAGTCCTTCATTAACAAGTCTGCTGCATCCCCAGGGGTGAGGACACCATGTGATACTCTCTCCTCCATCAGGGCAATCTTCTCCTTGACCACAGGGTGGGAGCGGAACAAGTCCATAATATTGTCTCGGATGTAATTCCACATCCAAATTTTCTTCTGATCAGCTCGCTTTCTGTCCAAGTCACCTGTACCTGAAACTATCTGTCTGAATTCACACATTTTGTCCCACAGAGCTGGAATTCCCTCTTTAGTTAATGACGATATTCTTAAAACCTGCAAAGACCAAATCCCTGTTGTACAGAAAAAAACTCCCCCATTGCAAAGAATACCCTAGGTGAATTGCTATATAGCTAATTCTCTACCATGGGGGAAGTTCTGCTATAAGCAAATATTCCAAATTGAAGACTTCTTACATTTATGTTTAAAATGATTCTTATTTTACATGTAACATTAAATGAACAAAATAACAAACCATTTCAATTTTAATTTCTTTCCATTTTCATAATGCATAGTATTGTGTTTCAAACACAGTCATCCAAACTCTGAGTATAAGTAGTCAATTAACAAATGAACTAAAAATCTGACCAGTCAGCAAGGGCCCCGCCGAGGGGTAGAAATATAAGGGTGCAGATTAGGGGATGAGAATTTTACTTGATTACAAAAAATTTTTAAATATATAAAGAATAAGCAACAGCAACTGCTAAATATCCAACAATCTTAAATAGTATCCTTGTATTTACATAAGGCAGTAAAAAACATCATATCTATAATAACTCAATTAAATGTATATTTAAAGAAGAATGAAGCATGTTTTTTCTAAAATGCCAGCCTTCAGTGAATGCAAATATCACCCAGGCTTGACCTTAACTTCAAAACAAATATCAGTTGCAGACAAAGGTGTTAATTAATCTTAAAGTGACAGAAAGATAACCCTCTAAAATTTTCTGCAAACCAGCAAGATAATCAAACCCACGAGATTAATTATACTGCTCTCTCAACCATTTCTTCAAAATTTACAATAAGAACTTTTTCAGCAATGATAGAATGGGGTTATTATCTGAATACCTGTTAAAATAAATAGTATTCTTGAATTTACATAAGGCAGAAAAAAAGAAAAAAAAAGAAGATAATAATAAAAAAGATATCTTTATCCTGTTTTTAGAATTCAATAAAATCATAACTCATTGTGTATTTTACCAAAATAAAGTATGAACATTATTTTAAATCCACATTTCAGAGAATGTAAACATCATTCAGAATTGACCTTAACTTCAAAACAAACTTCTTTTGCAGACAGAGGTGTTAATTAATCTCAATGTGGCAGATAAATATAAATGCTTTGGATTTTCTTCAAGAGGAAAGTTAATTAATCCCAAGAGACTCATTGCAGCCTTTCATAGTTTACAATAGGAACATTCTCAGCAGTTATCTCGCTTTGCCCATTCATTCTTATATAAAGTTAAGGAATCTACCCCACCACCCCAGCTCCAAACCGGATGACATAGAGAACCAAACTTAGCATCAAAATATGTCTAACTGCCTATTCAACCAACATACCAAATTTGAACTTAAAATTGGTCAACCCTAAAAAAAAAGTTATTAGAAAAAAACAGAAAATTTGTGGACGGAAGAATGACAGACGGACAGACGGACAGACAGAGTGATTACTATAGGGCACCCGCAAATCCTTGCCAGGCCCTAATTAAGATCTTAAACAATTCTCATTTTTAAAACAACTACCTCTGGACTCCAGTTCAGATTAACCTTCCTGATAAACTTCAAGGCACTCATGTATTCACTCTGAATATTGCGTGCAGCATTGACCAGGTCACCATCACACTTGTTGACCACCACAAGGTCAGCTACTTCCACAATGCCCTTCTTTATACCTGTCAATAGGACACAGCAATTAAAGTGTACCTAGTAAGTAAATTTATGTCACTGGTTCTCAATGAACTTAATACAGTGAAATAAGTACACGTACTGAAATGTTAACTTGTAAAAGACGCATACACAGAAGTGACCTTTTTTATATCACCAAGTATCATTAAGATCCTAGGTGTTACTGTATATATACATTATACTTATACATTATATATGTACATGTATGTGTGATTGTATACAGACCTTGCAGTTCATCCCCACCTGCAGGGGGAATTAATAAACAGAACATATCCACCATATCAGCTACAACAAACTCTGTCTGTCCAACACCTAGAAACAAAGTGAATTTAAAATATCAGAAACATGGTAAACTTAGAACAAACTTAGATCATCAGAAACATGGTAAACTTAGAATATCAGAAACATGGCAAACATAGAACATCAGAAACATGGAAAACATAGAACATCAGAAACATCTTAACTTAAAACATCAGAAACATGGTAAACTTAAAACATCAGAAACATGGTAAACTTAGAACATCAGAAACATGGTAAACTTAGAACATCAGAAACATGGTAAACTTAGAACATCAGAAACAAGGTAAACTTAGAACATCAGAAACATGGTAAACTTAGAACATCAGAAACATGGTAAACTTAGAATATCAGAAACATCGTAAACTTAAAACATCAGAAACATGGTAAACTTAGAACATCAGAAACATGGTAAACTTAGAACATCAGAAACATGGTAAACTTAAAACATCAGAAACATGGTAAACTTAGAACATCAGAAACATGGTAAACTTAGAATATCAGAAACATGGTAAACTTAGAATATCAGAAACATGGTACAACTTAGATCAGAAACATGGTAAACTTAGAATATCAGAAACATGGTAAACTTAAAACATCAGAAACATGGTAAACTTAGAACATCAGAAACATGGTAAACTTAGAATATCAGAAACATGGTAAACTTAGATCAGAAACATGGTAAAACTTAGATCAGAAACATGGTAAACTTAGAATATCAGAAACATGGTAAACTTAGAATATCAGAAACATGGTAAACTTAAAACATCAGAAACATGGTAAACTTAGATCAGAAAATCTGCCTTTGACTAATTCACAGCATTACTGTATTACAGCATTATTACATATTTTTTTTTATAAAATCATTATCTTTTTTTAATAAGTACTACAAAGTTTTATATTGTTGACAGCTTAAAATATCTGATCATTCAAATAAATACACATACAGCTGATAAACAATTTGATGATGACATTTTCTTGAAATTTCTACAAGTTAACAAAGGTAAATCAGACTAAAGCATCTGGCATCATAAAAGAGGAATTGGTTTTATGTAGTACATATATATTAAAAGAACAAAGAAACACATAATTGCCTTGATTTATGTTACTGTGAAATCACTTATTTTCATGGGATCAAATTTTCATTGTTTGAGGGAAAATTAACATGATTAATGGTTCATGGGGATTTGATTTTGTGGTTAAAGGAGAAAAATCATATCGAAGTATGGAATATTAAAATTTCATGGGGAACATGAATTCATGGGTATTTCCTTATACCAAGAAAACAACAAAAATTAAACCTCCACAAAAATTAGTGATTTAACAGTAAATTAGAGAAAATGAACAGTGAGTGATCAATTTACACTAGCTATCTGAACAGAGTGAATGCAAAGTGAACTATGAGCAACAAAGAGTTACTGGTGCACGGTGTAGTACCTAAACGGTTGCTATCAGAACAAAAAAGCGTTCATTGTTTCTATTCGTAAATTTTACATGGAAAGTACAGAGAGCCAGCTGTGAGGTGAGCGAATGTTTAAGATCGGGTTATAGAATGTTTCAGAGACTGTAGGACATAGCGGGATCCAATGCAAACATTACGTAACATACATGTAACTACAAAACAGATAACAGTCGTGATACTGTAAACATACCGGTAATTAATTTAGCAGTAATCATATTTTAGCAAATTCAGTCCTGCTTCTTTCTGCTAATTCAAGTACAATAAATATAGGATTAAGGACATACGCAACGTAGTTTGAACTTTATTGTCTTTTTCCCTGGAGTTGAAGAGTTCCAATACTTAAAAGAACTGTGTGCTACATTTTAATGTCTATATAGTCTGTACACTTCTTCTTAAACAAGTTTGGATAAACAAAACATCTTGAAAATATGTTTAGTAATTTTCATATATTTTTCTTTGAATTATACAAGAATTTTCAACAATTGGTATCTTTTTAAAATCCCTGGTTATGCATGCTGATTTTTTATCTATGAACATCTGATGGCACTATAATCTTAAATTAAGAATATCTTGAAAAATTATCAGTAGGTATGGTACGTTGCATATGTCCTTAAAGCAAAAACATATAGAAGCTTGGCTACAAATTCTTACTGACCTATTGTTTCAATCAGGATGATGTCATATCCTGCTGCCTCACAAACCAGTATAGCTTCATTAGTTGTCCTGGTAACACCTCCCAGGGTTCCTCTGGATGGAGAGGCTCGAATATAAGCGTTCATATCTTTTGAAAGTTCAGGCATCCTTGTTTTGTCACCAAGCAGAGAACCTGATTGGAACATTTATGAAATGTGGATAATGAAAGATTATAAAGCTCACATTGACAAATGTTACCAGTAAATGAAGGCAAAGTCTAACACTAAATGATCATTCTGGTAATGTGCATGCATCCCTAGATTCACATCCATGCAAGCTTGGTATTCGTAGAATTTATAGATTCTTGGGAATGAACCTGCTAAAAATCTTTGTTTCTGGAAAATGTAGGTCAGAGCATTCAGGTTGTTCAGATGCTGTGTCTGAAGAATGTCTGGTAAATATACATCCTTAGTTACATCATCTATGCAAGTTTGGTCCAAGTAGACTTTTTAGCTACTTTGGAATGGACCTGCTCCAAAAACTTCAATTTAAATCAATGGAAATGCAGGTCAGATACAGTATCTGAAACAAGTCTGGTAGGATTCATCCCTAGATGCATCATCATTGCAAGTTTGGTCACCATGGGGCCAAAACTTGTAGTAACTTGGACCAGCTCTAAAAATTTTACATGTAACCCATCCCAAAATTGTAGGTCAGATCAGCATTTTCTGATAGTATGCATCCCTAGCTGCATCTCCCATGCTAGTTTGGTCACCATAGTTCTATTAGTAACTTAGAAATGGACCTGTCCTAAAAACTTTAACCTGTTCAGTCATCCAGATCACTCATCAAGAAAATGTATGTCAGATCTAGCATCCGAAGCAAGTCTGTAGTGTGCATCCATAGGCACATCATCCATGCAAGTTTGGTCTATGTAGGGCTTATGATTACTTGGGCACTGAATTGTTCCTAAAACTTTAGTCAAGACCCCAATGTTGATGCAGGGGGTACAGCATAAGCTCATCTAGACTGTCAAGGTAATTAAGCTAAAAAAAAATATTTAAATATATTTTTAAAGAACAAGTCATAAAAGTCCAAAATGAAAACATGTCTACAATAGGACTTTTAAGTTACATAGTAAATCTTTTATCAACTTAAGATAAATGATAACCCACAAAGTCCAACAAACCTACATATAGCCCCAGCCACGTCAAAGAAGCTTAATCTGTACAGGTAATGAGGGGTACTTCTAAAGTCAAACAAGCCAACTAAGTATTCCCACTATAAAATGAAAAGTAAAGTCAAACAAGCCAACTATGTATTCCCACTATATAATGAAAAGTAAAGTCAAACAAGCCAACTATGTATTCCCACTATAAAATGAAAGTAAAGTCAAACAAGCCAACTATGTATTCCCACTATATAATGAAAAGTAAAGTCAAACAAGCCAACTATGTATTCCCACTATAAAATGAAAAGTAAAGTCAAACAAGCCAACTATGTATTCCCACTATAAAATGAAAAGTAAAGTCAAACAAGCCAACTATGTATTCCCACTATAAAATGAAAAGTAAAGTCAAACAAGCCAACTATGTATTCCCACTATATAATGAAAAGTAAAGTCAAACAAGCCAACTATGTATTCCCACTATATAATGAAAAGTAAAGTCAAACAAGCCAACTATGTATTCCCACTATATAATGAAAAGTAAAGTCAAACAAGCCAACTATGTATTCCCACTATATAATGAAAAGTAAAGTCAAACAAGCCAACTATGTATTCCCACTATAAAATGAAAAGTAAAGTCAAACAAGCCAACTATGTATTCCCACTATATAATGAAAAGTAAAGCTCTATTAAGTCAAACAAGCCTAGCCACAGAATGCAAAGAAGACTGCATACCAAGTCAAAAGGCTTACCTAAAGAAATCACATAAGCGTAACCTTGGTGTGTGAGACAGACTGCTAAAACAGCAACTCTTTGATGGCTATAAATGAACCTAACCCAACTTCATGATGAGGAGGGATCAACTGCTAAAACACAACTCTGTGATGGATATAAATAAACTCATCCCCACTACATGATGAGGAGGGATCAACTGACAAGATAGCGACTCTGTGATGGATATAAATAAACTCATAACCACTACGTGATGAGGAGGGATCAACTGATAAGATAGTGACTCTGTGATGGCTATAAATGAACTCACCCCCACTACGTGATGAGGAGGGATCAACGGCTAAAACAGCAACTCTGTGATCCCTCTCTGTGAGAAACTTTCCAAATGTTTCAATAAATGTGCTCTTCCCAGCCCCAGGTGGTCCAGAGAGTCCTGGAAAATAAAGAAATTACTGAGTGCTCAACAATGCCTAGTTACTGTTTTACATATATATATTCCATCAATTCAACAAAGTTTTTCTTTTTGTATTCCTACAAATTCGGAGGAAACTCGGAACATAATGGTTCTCACACTTATTCATCTATGCCATCACTCTGTACAACAAAATTTATGAATGTATCAAAGTAATATGTACTCTTTGATAACAATACATTACATGAACATAATATTGAAAGGGGGGGGGGGGGGCTGTCCCCTTCCCCTTTTTCCAAACATAACCTTTTACTCTTGACAGTGTTCATTGGAAGACTGGTTCCCACTCCCACTTTCTGTTGTAGCATAGCTAATTCATGGTAATTTGGTAATGTATTAATAAAATTTGGTTGTGAAAGGAAGTTGAAACTTAACATCCCCCCCCCCCAAAAAAAAGGATTTTCAAGTTCGAACAATTGCTGGCTCCCCCCCCCCCTTTCAAAAATGATGCTATGTGCCTGCATTACATAGACAATATCAATAAATTTACTGTCAAGAAAAGAGAGAAACTGGTTTTATTATTTACAATCATGAGAAATTTCCAACTTTTCCTATTTTTTTAAATGCTTGTAATCAAAAGACATGATACAAGACTTGAGTATTTTGAAGGATTTTTTTAGAGAAAATTTGCAGGTTATGGAATTATACATGTAAACTATTTATTTTGTGAGTTAATAATTCATAATTTATCATTGTGTGCATGGAGTTTTGTTTTTAGTTTTAAATTCCTGTTCAAATACACAACATTTTTGAAACAATAGAATTATAATGTATGAGTAAAGATTCATATTTTTGAAATAAAATGTTGTTACTTTCCAAAATTTATATCATCAAGAATAATGATATGCCTGTGCATCGATCTTTATTTTATCAAGAGAGTTTGCTTAACTAAACAAATAATGGAAGAAATACTCAGATTAAAAACAACAGAAATTACCAACCTATTCTGAAAGTTGGTGGACCTTTCATTGAATGAACAGCAACCATCTTCTGATCATGTAAAGTTAGGTTCAGTAATGCTTTGGCTTGAACCTTCTTCCTTGGGTTGCTAGTCTCTATAAGAGTTATTGCTCTTGCTAAACTCCCCCTATTCTGACTTTTCAGTCCTTTGAAAATGTTTTGAACATATTCATCAGGTTCTAAAATCAAGCCCTTTTCCACAGACTCTGTTTGTAGTAAAGATGAACATGAAATAAATATGTTTCTTGAACTGTTTTTGAAACACATTAAAGAAATACTTCTATCATTTCCTCTGTAGCTTTTGCTAAAAGCATGCCTATTAACATTTGTGAGAGAGTGTTTCCATCTTATGGTAGTCAATGCAGGCATCCAATTTTTATTAAGATACTTCCATTTTAACATCATGGATCACTTCTAACACCTGTCATCTACATCAACAAGCTCATCGAAACATCACGTTTCTGACCCACCTGTAAATGGAATAAAGTTTTACTCTTTTGTCACATTTCATTTTTTCATAGTTAAACACACATATCTTAATTCTTTTTGTTACTTTTGGTATTCTCATAATTAAAATAACAAACCAGCTAGTATCAACATGCCCAGCACAATCTTTGATTTAGCTATATAGCTTGAATTAGCTACATATCTTTATTAAGCTATTCAGAATAGCTTGGTTTAGCTATTTCATCACACTTGTTTCTTAAATATGTTATTTTTTCAGCATGTACAAAAAGTCACAGTCACCTTGGTGCAGTGATAGCATTCAACTTTGAACTCTTCTGAAAACAATGTATGTAAAAATCGTTTTCAAATTGCGCCATGAGAGACTTCGTAATCAAAATTCTAAAAGTTTTGGGGCTATATAAAGCAAGTGATTTGTGACCACACAGTTACTTCTTGAATTAATTTACAAAGGTGGTCATTTCTGGTCAACAAGATAAATGATTGTATATATTTCAGCACAATATGAAGCAATCATACTTATCCATGCCTCGACACACACAAGGTGGTGTGCAGTTATCCAAACAATGGAAAAACATCTTTTGCTTAAAAGTATTCAAAAGCTGCAATGTTAGAACTATTTTATATATGGGTTGCTTTTTTGATAGTCCATAGTACATATATATGAATAGTCAAATACTTGCGACTTTTTGGCTATTTCTTACAAAAAACTTGTATGTGAAAACTGCACATAAATAGCTTTATTGAGCTATTCTGAATGGCTTTATAAAGCTATTTGTAGCCAATTCAAGCTATATAGCTAAATCACATGCCTCTGAATTTCTATCACTAATCTGTTATAGCGAGCGCAGCAAGTGGCGCAAAGCGCACTCGTCAATCCGAGCTCTTAAAGCAATGCCTGGGTGAAGAAGAATTTCAGACTTTGCACATTGATCCAAATGATTTTTTTCCGCAATAACCTGTGGTCCCATAATGCTTTGCGAATTGCATCTCGCCACAAACTATGTTCTTGCGGTACCCAGAAGCCCCCCCCCCCCCAAATACTCAGCTTGATTTAATGGATATTGAGCAGATAAATAGTAGATTAAACCGAACGTTCTTTATTTAAAGAACCTTTAGCACTGTTCAGAGTTTGTTTTGGTAAATAAATACAAATTACATCTGACGTCAGAATCTTGATGTACCAAACGTCACATGCGGTTTGAAGACCCAATCTAAATTAAAACTGGAAAGGTATATATATATATATATATATATATATATATATATATATATATATATATATATATATATATATATATATATATATATATATATATATATATATACTCCCTCTATAATTATTATAGAGTCTATATATACAGAGGGGGTATATATATATCACTCTGATCAATCATATAACGGCTTATTGATTGAAATTCAGAGGCCTGTGGCTAAATCAAGAGATTGTGCTGGACCTGATCAAGGGTAGAGATTCAACAGCTTAACAGTTCAAAGGGTAAATGACTGTTTTCGCATCTCATGACCTTCCAAAGTCTTTCCTAAACAATCAAGGGAATTTTACAAATTTTTATCACAACGATTACCATTCACTCCTTTTATTATTTATATTTGTTCGTGATTTATTCTATAATAATAACCCTTCGGCCCTCCACTGCCTCCAGTCTGAGAGTCCTTTGTCAAATGAACCGGATACCGAGATAAGAACGCTAAGCTTTAAAGTGATATAGTCAACATTGACGACACTGCGAATCCCGATTAGGCATTACTGGGTACATAAGGGGATGGTTCCAGAATATAAACTCTTATAGTGGTGCAGAAAATTCACACCCCAAGAAATAATAATAATTAAAATAAATTAAAAAAACTCATAAGAGCAACACCATTTGACTCGGTGTGGGGAGTATTTATTTTCAAACAGGACAAAATTTCCAATTTGACCAAAAACAGATCACATGCATATACATGAATTTTAGGCCCGTAGGAAACAATGTCAGTTGGGGGGAACCAAACATTTTCCTTTTGGGGACACTCCGAAAAATTCAAAATTTTCTTAACAAGCGAAAAAAAGGGGAGGGGTCATCAGATGTTCTTACTGAGGGGCCAAAAGCTTATAGCAGCTATGTTTTCTAATAGTATACTATCTATCGGCAATATATTATTGGGGGCAACCCCCCCCCCCCCCGTTTCTTACGGCCATGTACATTGTATTTCTTTCCTTCCAAAAAAAATCTGCTGAAATCGACTAAAAAAGGTCACACACTGCTGGGTAGTTCGAAATATCTGACGTTTTCCAGGCTTTTTTCACGATTTTGATATTTTACGTGCCAGGTTTTCCTGTAAATATAAAAATAGTAAAAAAAAGCCAGGAAAACGTCAGGTATTTCGGACTAACTGCTGGGATATTTTTAAATATTGTACTATATAAGAAATAAGGTTAGATTTTATTTATATTTATTTGGTTTTTTCGCGATTTGTCAGTTTGAAAGCTTCCCGCGAAGGCTAATTTTTGCAACTGATGATTATATACAATGAAAAAAATATTTCGCTTCAAGAATTATTCGCGAGGAGAAGGTCCCGAAACTAACGAATATTTCTCGCACGCGAATACAGCTAGATTACAGTATTTTTCTGTGAACGCTATAGTAAATTACCTATATTTTCTTATTACTGGCAAAATTATTGAGAGGGCTCATCATCACCAGAATTAACTTTTTTTTCTATAGTAACGCATCTACTGGAAAAACACGGGCACCCCCTCCTACTGGCCTGATATGGTTGGTTTTCTCTTGAAGAATTTTTCACTTTCACAGAGACGCCACTAGTTGCCGGTAGAATGCTGCAAAGAAGGTTGTTGAACAAACCTAGAAAATTCCTAGAGTTCGATTGATTGATTTTATGCTGTTTTACGTCCCTTTCGAGAATTTTTCACTCATATAGAGACGTCGCCTTATACCGGTGTAGGGCTTCAAAGCTTTACGTATATACTTGGCACTCAGGGCCATTGGGCAGCGAGGGTTCTTTATCGTTCCAACGCCTATACCGTGAAACGGAATCTCGGTTTTTAAGGTCTCATTCGAAGGATCCGCAACTTCAAAATGCCGAGCGCTTGGCGAAGGAACAGTTGCTACCTATACTTTTTATCGACTTAGTTCAGTCGCGGCCATGATTCGAACACATGACCTTCCGATCACGGAGAAAGCCCTCTACCGACTGAGCTACCGTGACGGTACCTAGAATTCGACAAATAAGAAAGTGAAAATTTGTATCTCAATTACAACACATTTTCTTTGATATTTCAGTTAACAATAAAATATACTTTATGTAAAACCTGCACAATATGCACTGAACAATCTCAAAAGTGAAATGGTATGCACACACCAAAGATAGCAAATAATTATAATTTCTTTATACTTTGCCAAAATTTTTCTATATAAGTGAGTCTTCTATCCATTTTTTTTTTTTCAAAGAGCATGTGTGTGTTTAGATATACACACGTTCTGTATCTTTTTCAAAGATATTCATTTTCTTTTAAGTTTTTGCTTAAACAAACCATGGATCAAGGACCCACTCCAACTTAAATATACACTTTTATAACACAAAATCCGTATCTTTCCGAGAAATATTTAAGTCCAGTTATTCAACGGTCATATCACAAACAAGATTTAAATGCCTTTACGTTATGCGGGCAGCATGGTGTAGTGGGTAGCGTAGCAGTCTCTAAGACAAAAGAAACTGATACTCAGAATTTTCATCGCTAAAATTGGGTTCAAATCTAAAGAAATTATTAATTTTCCTTCACCGTAGAATAAGAGAATTTTTTCACAGAAAAATATTGTCAAAATATCATACATGTACTTTTCAATAATTAGAGATTTGCTCTAAATGCTAAGCTCTAATTGAATTTGATTTTTAGACATATGAAGATAAAGGCTTCTTCTTACTAGATTCATATTCGGTAATGATGGCAAATGGGCAACGAGGCTCGATTTTTTTTTTTCCTGTCAGCATCTACTGTGACACGGAACCAAGGTTTATTTGGATAACTGGTCTCCAAGTACTTCATATTCTTGTAAAAACATGCAGGTCTGCAGAAAGCTATTTGTTTGGGGAGGGGCAACACCTAACAAACAAGAGATGTTTGTAAAACATGCACTTATCCCCCCCCCCCCCCCAATAATTGGAATTTTTCTAAGTCCAAGGGGCATAACTCTGTCAAAAATTGCTCGACTGTACCCAACACAGAACTTGACATAGATATTTTTAACATAAATTTGTTTCATTTCAGTATGTGCAACCTCTGTGAAGAAAATGAATGGAAACTGTTGGTGGACTGACAGACAAAAACAAAGGCCATCAGACATTATTTTTGAGGGGGAACAACAATAAAATAACCTTTTTTACTGTATTGTATTTACTGGCAAAATTAGCAATGGGACAAAACCATAAATATTGCTTTGTTTTCTATTGTAAAGTATTAACTGTGACAATTGGGGGTGGAGGAGGGGGAGCACAGCCCCATCCTATAGACCTGACATAGAACTGTGATCATTGCTCAAATACAATACAATAAAAAAGGTTATTTTATTGTTGTTCCCCCTCAAAAGTAATGTCTGATGGCCTTTGTTTTTGTCTGTCAGTCCACCAACAGTTTCCATTCATTTTCTTCGCAGAGGTTGCACATACTGGAATGAAATTAGGTAATCAAATTTATGTTAAAAATATCTAGGTCAAGTTCTGTGTTGGGTACAATCGAGCAATTTTTGACAGAGTTATGCCCCTTGGACTTAGAAAAATTCCAATTATTGGGGGGGGGGGGGGGGATAAGTGCATGTTTTACAAACATCTCTTGTTTGTTAGGTCTGAAATTTCAGACTTGCCAAAATGTCCTGGGGTATGTATAGCCAAGTTGTGGTGTTATCAAAGAAATAATGAAGATAAGACTTCTATTTTGCATACTGGATTTTCTTTGATTTTTTTTTTAAATCATTAAACATTTACAAATAATAGTCAATACAAATGATAGAAAATGTACTTTAAAACTTATTGGTGTAACAATTATAGCAATGCCTTATGACATCATTGCCATGGAAATGGAACCATAAAAAGAAACAGATAAGTTTGGATGCAAACATCAAGAAATGAATAATGATTTCTTGAAAATCATCACTGTTTTATAAAGGATACATATTGGTATAAAATATAGTCATACTTGCATGTATGAAAATTTCATTAACAGGAAATCAAAGTTAGTAATAATATACATGTATCTCTCATTTAAAACATTGTAAGGCAAAAATCTTCATTTTATGGAATGTACATGTGAAAAAACCGATGAAGCAGCAAATCAAGTGTATTCAATAGTGAAGTTTCATTAGAATCACACAAACAAATCAAGAGACAGAGATGCTCATATATTAATAAAAGTACTATCACCAAACACCAATCTTAACAAGCCATTAATAACTGTTCTGTCCACATATCTAATACGAAGCAAATATAAACAATGTCTGGTTTTCAATGATAACTTGTAAACAAGGTAGTAAGATTTAAACTGTACCTGGTTTTCTTTAGGCCAAAAAAAAATTACATTGTAAATTTGTAATGAATATAAGTTTCTCAGGTCAAAAATTTCAAAATTCAATGCGGCAGGCAGTTTTTTTTGTTGTTGTTGTTGTTTTTTTTTTAAGCAAGTGTTTTATCTTTTTTTGTCAGTCGTTCAACAAAATGATGATTTCAACTGATTCTTACTTTTTTGTTCTCTTACATTTATCATATGTATTCAACTTTATATAATGTTATTCCAAACATTTGTTTAAAAGTTAATTAAAAAAATATTGTATTAACAAGAAATACCATATATACTCGCCTATAAGTCGGTTGTAATTTTTGAGGTTATTTTGGAGGGATTTGCAATTTACCCGCATATAAGTCAGTACAACTTTTTGCAAGAACCAACTGACAATTTCAAATCAATGTTTTAATGATGTTTTAACCTGGTTTAAGTTTTTTTTTTTTAGAAATGATGCCAATATTTAATTTTAAATCATTACAAAAAAATAACTAACGCACACTTAAGAGAAAAATTATATTATTGAAATATGTAAATACTTGTACTTCATGCATAATCTTAGAATACAAAAAATGATATAATATATCCAGACTTTATTCAATGATTATCGTCGGACAGGTTTATAAAATACTACATGTTGCCGTTCAAAATAATGCCAATTTTTTATGACTTGCCTATAAGTCGGACATAGAGTTTTGGACCAAAATTCAACTCCCAAAAAACCGACTTATAGGCGAGTATATACGGTATATTGTTTATCTAATAAAAACGTCTATCTATAAGCATTTATGACAAGGGGAATAACTCGATTTTCTTTCTCAACCTGGAAAATTAGAAAATTGAGTTATTTCCCTTTTCAATATTTCAATAAAATTGATCAATGGGGCAGTTTTTGACCTGACGCGGCGGTGCCTGAGAAACTATTAAATTTTTTGGCCTTATCAATCAGTCTGAACTTGTACATGGATAGATAACCATACATAAAACTGATATAATTATCATAAACTGTAATGACATGTATGTGTATGATGATACAAAGGAATTTAACATTGTATTTTATGACTTCTTTAAAATTTAAAACTTCAGACATTATGTTATGTTAATCCTCAATCTGTTTTCAATTTACTAATGATGAAATTGGACTGTCTAGCACACATCTGCTTTAGAAAGTACAAGGTTCCTGAACGTTATTTACACTATTAACCCTTATGATTGATATTTATAATCAAAAATGTACAACTGTATTCAAATACTTAATCAATATTGCACATACACTAATTGTTCAATCACCCATTTTCATCTACATGTATACATGTACATGTATACCCCTAATACATAGAAATCTACCCCTTTTATATTCAATCATACAGATGTATGATAGCTTGTAAGCACAATCTTCCTAGTCTGCCTTTAGATCTGAAGGCCTTGTAGTGTCCTCTGTAAATGCTGTGTACAAAAAAAGTCCTAGTATGATATGTACTGTTCCTATAGCAACAAATGCTGCATAGAAAGAGCTGTCTTGACTGGAAATCCCCATGACTCCTGAAATCAGACAGGTCAAAATACAGAATATTTTCTGTTTCATCCTGCATTTAAAATTAGTAGAAAATATAAAATAAGCTCAAAATCTATGTTTGATTTTTCATTCAATATTATTCCATTCATAACCATGAATAGGTTACTAGTACATTTAGATGATCTCATTTACCAATGTTAAAGGCTGATTTATTTGAAAATAAAACATTTGCCCATGATTTTACCTTGAAAGAACATGCTTTTGGAAAAGAAATACAAGAAAACTGGGAAGAAGATCATGGACAAGCTAAAGAGGATCATCGTCTTCATCACACTGTTTGTCCGTGCTTCATCACCCATTATTCTGTAGAAGAAATGAAAACTATTGAATTAAGGTATTAAAAGTTGTACATTATTGACAAATACATGTGATAGCTTAATTTAAAGAAACAAATTTTAAAAAAAAATACTATTAAAGTTCAACAATAATGGATAAAAGCATATATGATAACTTTTAAGTAAACTATTACATTTCACAATCTGTACTACCATGTGTACAGAAATTACTTAGTAGATCCTCTGTATGTATGATTCATAATTAACCTCTAAATAAGTGACCACCTAATAAATGATTATAAATAGTTAATGATTGTGATTTTAAAGATGACTTTTACAGAAAGAAGGGGAATACTTCTCCATTTTGAATATGTGTATTTTGAATGTCATTTGTCCGGTAAACTGAGATTCCTCAGACTCTAATTTCTACTTTTATAATTGTAACTTGTCTCAGCACACATTGTAATATGAAAGCAGGGGTTAGACTCGGAGAAATCTCAGATGTCCATGCTTTGTACCTTTACTTCCAAAATGTATTTTTATTACTTTTTTTTAATTTTACTGCAACCAGACATCTCTTTCTTTCTGCATTACCAGGAGTCATGATCCATATAATATCTTAAATTGGTTGTGACCTAATTCTGATACAACACATATACTGTCCTTTATATCTATATCAAACTATTTGTTAGAAATAGTAAACAGTATATAGTATACCACTGTATACACATCCAGGAGACACACTGATAATTTCATAATCAGATAATGATAATTTGATGGAGTTGCTTTTCCAATTGTGAAATCGTTTTCTGTTCAAAATGAGGAAAAAGTTTATTACTTCTCAGTTTGATCGACATGAACTCTTCTCGAAACTTTTCTCTAAAAACTGTGGCTCAATCACTGTAATGATTACTATTACACCAAAAAGGTAAACATTCTTATCGCCCTATAATTCCGAATTTCCTCATTTATCTTTTTATTTTCTCAAGGCTTTCTTCGTCTCTACCTTTTACATGCTGATATAACTTATGATATAGGTGTGCTATTAGAGAAACCATAATTTTTAGCACGATAAACTCGTAAAAATATTTTTAAATTGATTCATCAGCACCTGCTTCGAAGATCGTCCGCCATGTCTTAGCTATCTCGTACAACGAATGGGTTTCCGGTTCCTTCGCCCCATGGATATCCAAGTGCCCCTCTAAACTTCTTAAAACTATATATTGCAAGGGAATATATTTACAAGTGAAAAAGTGTTTTTAACAAATTAATCCGTATCATTTAGAGAAAAATAATATAACTGTTTGTGTATCAGTAATATAATGATATAACATAGTATTTACACTAACGTTAGGCATGGACTGACTGGTAATATTCCATATGTTGCAAGGGGAATGCACAGAAAGTACTATCCATCCACCCCTAAGCAACAAGTAAAGAGGGCCGGGTCACTCTCTTATACTTGATACTAAGACTATATGTTAAAGTCATATATGGCGTATTTTTTTTATAAGTTCAGACTAACTAAAATTAAAAAAATCTTTCCAGTTATTTTATTACTCAAATAAAGATAGGACTTTTCTGTAAATTACATAATTTAAATCAATCACGTTTCAAAGATATTAGAAATTTAAAACAATAACCGATTTATTTACCGACTCTGCATTTAATTAATAGACAGTTTAAAATCAATTTAACTATGGAAAAATGAGGTTATTCAAGCTCAAAATCGGTGAAATTTTTAATTTGAACGTAAATAACATATATCATGTTTATCTACAGTCAATCTCGCATTTTTAATTTTTAATTATACTGACATGTGCAAGCCCGTAGCAACGGTTTCAATCAAACAATAAAGTGCTTTCTTTGGTTGTTAGTATACGGGAATTAATGTCGCATGCAGCTGTTACATGTAAGTGGATGTAGATATTAGCTACAGAACTGTAGCGTTATGGTTTTATATTTTAGTCTTTGACAACAACAGACTAAAATATAAACCATAACGCTAGTACAGTTCTGCAGCTACGGTTTCAAGGGGGGGGGGGGGGGCAACTTTTCAAAATTATCTAACAAGCAAAACAAAAACAAAAAAACCCCTAATTTACTGTCCAAATCCGGGAATTTCTAAGTGCTCCATCTTACAACAACAAAAAGTGAGGGGGGGGAGCAACCAGCATCTAAAGGAAAATTTACTACAGCAAAATACTATACTCGGAAAAAAGTGGGGACCCCCCCCCCCATATGTTTAAGGAAAAAAGATCTCATAATGTAACGTGAACACCGTGCACGGGATGTATGCTTTCGAAGCGATTGAAAGGGGCCGGGTCGAGGTACGTTTTCTGTCCAATTTCTCAATTTATGGATATATTTCGCCTGAAAGCATACGCTTACGGAAGAAAGCTAGGAGCATACGTTTTCGTCAACCGCTTCACTAGAAAAGCTAGCTAGCGAGACAGCATTAATTTCTCCATATATTGTTCGCTACACTACCATGAAAATTTACGTGTAATGCTTCGAGATCGTTTGTTCATTAAATATAGACAGACTTTTTCTGAGAGCGTTTTTCGAAAAAAAAATCAGCATATCTTTAAATTTCGTCGTTCTCTGTAAAAGTTACGTAAAACATTAATTTTATCGTTGATATATATATACAGGCACATAGGAATTAATTTCAGTTTGCTTGGAAGGGGGGGGGGCATTTTCAGTTTGGATGCATGGGCACTACCATGCAAAATTCCAAACAGAAATAGCTTTGTTTTCTGTAGCATAATATATATCGGCAAAATTATTGGGGAGGCAGGCATGTACCCCGAACCCTCCCAATTCCTGCGCCCTTGTTATATACCTTCGTTATTCAAAACTGTCAGCATTATAATGGTTCGGCAGGCTTTTTGTGGTTACATTCAGTTGTAAATACGAGAGTGTCACTAAATATAAGGTTGATATAGTATCCCCTGATATTTCTATTGAAAAACTTCCTCTTTGTTCTCGGTCATTTGTCTATTCAAACTTCGATATATTTAACACAACACCCCCTTCTAACCAAGAAGTTTAATTTATACAGAGTTGTGTTAAATAGGAAAAAAATAGTGAACAGAAAGAATAATTTATCAAAATAAACTAATTCGTATTTAGTATTTGAGTATATAAGGCTATTATGACGTCATTTCAATTATGCACAATCTCCCTTGCAGAGTTGTCGTTCGTTACCCTCTCAGACACGTGGATGTATGAGCCGATGGTAGAGAATTAAACTAATTCGCATTAAATTCTCAGGTGAACCCATATCAAATTTAATTCGCAGTAAATTACGTTTAATTCGAATTAAACTCTCTGTGTGAACAGGGCATAAGTTTAAAGTTTTATCAACGTTCGCGAGGCGCAATGGCTAGATCGTTGTACTCTAGAGTCGGAGTATAAGATGATCTTTACGCATTCCACTATGGGATGTGTTGGGTCCTTTCGATGAGATCGTATAAACCAAGGTCCTGTGTCGATCGAGGTAGAATTTGGTAAAAAAAAAAAAGATCCCTCATTGCTTAACGACTGTAAGTGCCAAATACGGTTTAAATTTGCAACCTTCCATCGGTTAAATCCCAATACATGCAATATGAGTGAAAAATTCTCAAAGGGACGTAAAGCAAACAAACACCTGAATACTAAAGAATATGGTCTCCTCTATAAACTAACGCATTCAAATAAAGTACAAGACAAACTTCATGCTACATACTTTTAATTATTTAATAATATATCCAAGCACATGATCATGAAAAAATGTTCTACATTCAGCTGTTATTGTCATCAACACCACAGAGCGCATATTTGTTGGTTAACATTCGTGTAGAGATGACCACTCCGGTACCGATACACCAACACCTGTTGACACCATCAGCACACGCGACCGTTTTGCCGACGCTGATGATTCGTCCCTCCACGGTGCATGTACCTTGATTAATGCTTACAATAGTCAACCAAACACGCTGCATTTCATTTCCGGAATTTCGAATAGCATTTCCGACAATTTTTTTTAAATTTCATTTCCTAATTTTTATTTTCATTTCCGACATTTATTTTTTTCATTTCCGGAATTTTTGCAGGGTACCTCTCCGGCAATTTAATGTTTACCAAGTACTAGTAGATGGAAATGAAATTTTAAGAATTAATTTCAAACCACATTTTCAAAATATGCCTTATAATTTCCTCCTAACATATCTGATTTCAAACTTAAACTGAACATTTGAAAAGGAGATGAGCGAAAAAGTTCACAACACTTACAAGTGCCTCAGAGAAAGAAAAAAAAATCTTTACTATTTTCATTGCTAAGCAAAACTCATTAATTGAGGTTCAATGATTCATTCATGATTTATTCTTTAAAAATTTCATAAGTGAAGTCTTCAATCTTGCTTTCATTGCCGAAAGTACTACCAGAAAAATGTCGGAGATGAAAACTTGAAAATGTCGGAAATGAAAACTAAAAAAAAATGTCGGAAATGAAAAATTGAAAATTTCAAAAAATTCCGGAAATGAAATGCAGCCGCCAAACACAAATTATATACTTGTTTTACATGTGTTTTTACAGCTCAATAAGTTTTATCTCTTACTGAAAAAGTTTGCATTATTAATTTGTATGGATTTTTTTTTGTACAAATTTATACTTAAGTAAGTATTCTTTACTTTTAACAAGATGAAATGCTATCTTATGTGGTACCCACCATCACAAATGGGACAGGAGTCACCCATTTGGGTCCTTTGAAGGTCAGGGGAACAAGGCGGAGATTGGCATGTCCAGGTCTTACAATAAAAGTTGTCATCATTCATGTCCTTGAAACAGTAAGCATTCTTCTTTGGGGTGCTATCCTCATTCGAGAAGACGTCGCAATCGTAGAATTTTTCATCTTTCCCCACTCCAGCTATTAAAAATGTAGTTGACACAATTTATCTCTTTTCATACATTTACGTATTTTTAAATACATTTATTTATATAGATTTATTGGATTAACATTTTGGCGCTTTACACACTCTCTTAAGTGCGACAATACAGTCATGGCACCGCCAGTGTATAAACTCACATGTATAGAACGGATATTATATTATTAATTAATAGTATATACATTCTAAAAAGCAGCAAACTAGTCCACGATGTTATTGATATGCAAAAGTTTGTTGAATATGCTGAGTTTTAAAGTAGACACAAAGAACGCTAAAACGATTTTTATCTGCATTTATAAACCAATTTTAAATATGAAAAACAAGATATTTTTATGAAACATTAAATAATGCCCCCGTATGGCAGCTCTTGGCAAATGAAAGTTTCTCAAATGCAAGTCAAACTATAAGGTGAAGGTCAAGAGATCGAAAATACTCGTATTGGTACCCATGCAAAGAAAGGTCTTGTCACACAGAATACACCTGTGAAATATGATTTTTCCAGTCCTAGCACCAACCGTTAACGGTTACCAAAAGTTATGGCCAAGGTTAATTTTTTTCAAAAGTAGGTCAAACTCCAAGGTCAAAGGGTGAAATTTGTTGGAACCTAAAGGGAGGTTTTGTCACGAGTAACATACGTGTGAAATAATAAAGCCCTAGCAAAAGTTACATCAATTTGTACGACCAAGACGATTTCTCATACGTACATGTATGTCTTTAAATTGTTGTTACCCGCGGGAAGGTCTTTATACTAGAAATACACGTGAAGTTTGAAAGCCCTAGCACCAACTGTTCAAAAGTTAGGGCCAAAGTTAAAGTTTGGTAAAATTTTGCAAAAGTTGGTAAAAGGTCAAATATGTTGGTACCCAAGGAAATTTCTTGTCACATCGAATACTCATGCGAAATGTGAAAGCCATAGCTCCAATCAAAATTCCGTCTTTGACATTAGTGTGCAGGTACAGTGATGGATATCCGATACCAGCATTGACGAGTACAGCCGTGGATGTTAGCTGAAAGACACTGATGCCCGAATATTCGATTACGGGGACATAAAGACTACTAGTATCAGTAAGTATATAACACAGTGGTTAAACTCACCTGTTACTAAACACAGTGAAAACAGCCAGCTGGTGAAAACAGCCACGTGAAAAATCATTTCTGAAAAATAAGTGTGAGAAATGAATTATAGAAGATTGTAAATCTCAGGCAAGGAGTTTATTACGAAATATCGTCATTTAATATCTTCAGCGTGGAAATATAAATTTTCATCACACCGTGTAGATCAATTACGAGAGTGATTTAACCTACCCGTGACGTCACATCCTATGTCACTGCGTAATAATATAGAGAAAGCTAGGTGGTAGAGATAAAGGGAAAAACCAAAGTAAACTCATCTATATCCCCCTAAAGTTTTCAAAGATTCCATTTTCTTTTGATCTTCATTTTCTTTTTTAAAAAAAAAATGTAACTACAGTAAAACCTCGCTACCAAGTCGATGGGTCAGGCACGTAATTTTATTTCTGAAAGGGGGGGGGGGGCATAAAAAAGATTTTGACAACTTACCTGAAAAAACTTCAACAAGCGAAAAAAGGTAGAGACATGTTGAATATTATAATTCACCACGTGATTTCTCAATTCACCACGTGATTTTTCAACTCACGTAACTTTTGTGAATAAAACTAAATTCCGTCATGTGACTTGTAAGGTAGCATGTTATGTGCTAACTTGGTCGTTTCGAACACGTTAAATTGTCAGATCATTGTAAATTCTCTATATGTATTTGGGAAGCATTAAGGACAAAACATTGAGTTACTTTATTGTATCACAGTCTACAATCATTTTAACAATTAAATTTAGTTTCAAACTGACAAGAATCTTTAATAAATAAACACATATGAAATTAGGTTGAGATATAAAAACAACAGGAGCGACTGAAAAAGACCCAAAACCCGGCTGTAATTGCAGTCATCTTTTACAACATGTATTACAGAAAGCGAAGAACAATGAACAACAATGATATACTTACTGTATAAGATAATCAACAACTGCTAAAGTTGTGTAGACAGCACACACCCAAAGCTTCTTTATATTTAACACCGTCAGTCATATAAAGCGTTTTATTGGTATTTACAAAATGTGGGTGTTACTTAAATGTTCAATGAAACGACAAGGTCAAAATTTATTTATTAAAAAAAATTTAATCGATAACTCTTTCGAGAAGCTTCTACATACTCACAGTTTTCGTGTTTTCAGGTATTTTCCACGCAGACTACATTGAAAAACATATATAATATACAATATTTTACATAATGTCCTTTCATGCTAAGAATGATTTAGAATCATTTTTCGCAAACTTTGGTATAGTATAATAATGATTTATGCCACGTTTTCCCTTCCCCGCCAAAACCTAAAAATCACCAAGATATACATGAACACTTTATGATCATGTCTTTATCAATGTATATTTTGATGAACCATAGATATAAAAGTCAAAAGAAGTGAAAAAAAGGCTTTTTTAACCTCAGATTTTAACGCCAAGGATAATCTGAGAACACTCCTTGCAATTCTCCGATATTTTGATATCTTCAAGCTTCCATTTTTTTCCAGATTTTCAAGCTTCATTTTATAAATTGTTTTCCTTAGATTTTTAAGCTTCACTTATTCTTTTTTTTTCTCAGATGTTCAATTATTTAAATTTGTGGTGTTTTTTTTTTTCTTTTTTTTTTTTTTTTTTTGCTTATATGTTCAAGCTTCACTTTTTTTCCTTGTACAGTAATTTGTTTTACTCAAATATTCGAGCTTTAAAAATGAAAAAAAAAATAGAACTTCAACAGAAATATATAACCCTTGATCATTTCTCTTAAAATCAAACTTATTAATCATGATGGAAACATATCCGATAGTATTTTGTTTTTATAAGATTAAATTCATCTGAAAATTCAAAAGTATGTTGATAATTAAAGATAAAAAAATTTTGGTTTGTTTCACAAAAGTATTAACTACTGTGAAGGAGAAACTTCAGACAAACTGTTCTACAGCATATTTAAGAAGTGGTGTCAATCAAATGCCGATTCGCAAAATCTCCAAAGATCTTTTAGAAAAATTTAAACTCACATTTTTTTTTTTTTTTTTTTTTTTTTTTTGGTAAAAAGCCAGTAACATAAAAAAGTCTGACTTCTCTACACTTTATGCAATCATTAATCACGATGAAGTGTAAAAGACTTTTTGCTATCGTAGACAAATACCGACTTTGAACGAGGTTTTGAAACCCCTGTAACAAAAACTTATCTGTCAGTAGCCTGCCTCTATTAAAAAGAGCATGACTGTTCTTGAGTATTGAATAACTTGGGAGATGTAAACGCTATATGCAGGTGATAGCGGAATATTACTACAAAATTAAGGAATTTTGGCAATGAAAAAGCTGAAGTCGTCATCTCGTTTGTCATACAATTTACATGTAGTTGTTAGCTGGTCCTTATCGTTTATAGTCAGTAAAACATCCAAATATGAAACAGAAATGTGGCAGACTCTGTGGTGTCTTTTATTTCAAGTTCAGTGGCCTTTTTTTGTCGACAAGAGGAACCTCTCACCATGAAATTATCACGGTGTTATTTGTGATACAGACAATTTTAGGGACACGCTAAGTTTTAGCTCATTTAGGCATATACTTCAAAACATCTACATGTATAAATGGTATGTATCGAGTCGACATATAAATGGATGCTAGAGTTTCCTATTTACAACATCTTTACAGTCTTTGGAGACCAGGTCCTCCAACAATCTGTTGGAATTTTGCTGAACTTCGCCCCATTATTAGCCGACATATTTTTAACTTTTTTTTTTTTTGCAGTCAAGACCCAGTTATTGAATTGGTGAAAATGGCAGGCGGTTGGCTGCTAAAAGGGTACATCATTTGTCCGGATAACTACTCCAATATTTTCAAGATAGGATGTTTTTATTTGCAGATTAATCGTACATATATCAGTGATGTGCATAGTACTTGGATTTTGAAGGGTTTTTTTAATAATGTATGAGAAAAAATACCACTTGTTGAACTTAGTCATTTTTAAGCAAAATACACATTGTATATACTTAGTATATTGCTTTTAAGGTATATCCTTTGTCCGCCATTATTTTTACACTAAATTTGTCCATGCACGGATTATTCCGTCTATCTATCAATACATAGGGCTCACGATGGGTGTACCAGGGTAATGCTTCCTCGATCCTGCTAGGCGCCTCAATAAAAAAATAAAATACTCTATGTAATCTTGAATGTTTTAAAATACTTGTAGTGACTGAACTAACAACTATGTTAATACCGCGATATTAAATTAAATTTTAAGAAGCATCCTTCAGAGTTTAACCTGTTATCTTGAATTCTTAAGATGAATAATAACAAACCAAGTGGAAACTATAGCAGGCCCGTAGGAAGCAATTTCAGTTTGGGGGGGGGGGGGGGCACAGCCATACATTTTCAGATTTTTCAGATGAGGGGGCACTAACACCTACCAAAAATTCCTTGACAAGCAAAAAAAAAAAAATAAATAAATAAATAAATAAAAGGTCATCAGACGTTTTTATAGAGGGGGGATGCAGAAGCATATTACGAAAGCCTATTAGGATCAAACTACAGTTAAAAAAAAAATTAAAAGGCGTTATAACGTCTTTTTAAAAGGCGTTATAACGCTAAAAAAGGCGTAATAACGCAAATAAAAGCGTAATTACGCCTTTCCAAAAGGCGTTATAACGCGAAAAAAAGGCGTTATTACGCCTTCCAAAAGGCGTTATAACACCTTTCCAAAAGGCGTTATTACGCCTTTCCAAAAGGCGTTATTACGCCTTTTTAAAAGATGTTATTACGCCTTTCTAAAAGGCATTAATACGCCTTTCAAAAAGGCGTTATTATGCCTTTTGAAGGGCCATTATTATGTCTTTGACAGGCCCGTGCTTTTAAAGTGGGGGGGGGGGGGGGTCCCATAAAATTGACAAGCAAACAAAAACACAAGAAACAACCCACCCCCACCCCCCACCCCCGAAAAAAATAAACTGCCTAAACTTGAGGGGAAACTTATTCTAATTTTTCGGTAAAACTTTTTTTAAATGCAATGACTTGCCCGAGTTTAACCATACTGCAACAAAATGTTAAGGTACCAAGCAATCAATAAATGATTTTTTTATATTTAAACTATAGCAAGACTATTCTCTCAAAAAGTGGGGTCGGGGAGCCCCCCCCCCCCCCTTCACTCGCATTCGTACTACCAGCCTGTTTGAAAAGGAGTTATATCCAGAAATGGAAAGGCGTTATTTTAAAATAGTAAATATGTGAAAGATTGAACCAAAGCCATCTTTATTTATGCAATATTTAGATTATAGTTTTCATATTATAAATTATATTATAAAATATAGATATATCTATATATCTATATATATATATATATATCTATATATATCTATATATATATATATATATATATATATATATATATATATATATATATATATATATATATATATATATATATATATATATATATATATATATATATAAAAGATGCAACAAAACAGTTTGTGAATTTGGTTACCATTCGAACCAGGTTAGAATTATAAGTTTATTGCGTATTACTTTAAAATATTCCGGAATAAGTGTCTCGATTTCTTTTTTTATAAAATATCAAAATTCCTATCTAGCGTTTAGTTTACTATTAAATTATGCAATATAACAATAAAAACAAATCGGTTGCTTGGTGATACAACTTTGTTTTCTGAGTGTACTACAAAATTATATCAATCATTGGACAACAGATGGGAAGATGAAACAGCTGAACTTTGAAAAAAAATAAAGATCCGTTTATCTATCAGGCCATAAATATAGCCAAGTAAATGATCACTCAAATGACTATAATATTAATACATATAATTTTAAATTAAAGAGTCTTCCTGAAAAATCCTTACAATTATTTTTTAATGCAGTCTGTATAGTTAAAGACCACACGATGTCCGAGTATATTTTCAAGTGATTACAATAAATAAAAGATGTCTGATCTTTTGTGTTTTCGCTTGTAATAAATATATGTAACAACTAACCCTGACTATATTTTCTAATTGAAGAAATTTTATATAAGAAAGAAATTTTCATATTTTTTCTTCTTTTCTTCTGGGAAATTTTAGCTTGTGATATTTTTCAGAGTGATAAGGGTGTAACACGTGACCAAATATGGCGTAGCTGGGTGGGTTTTTTTTTTTAGCTCCGCAAATTTTGCTTGAAATCAAGAGAAAAATGTAGATAACAGCTTCAGATCTTCATCGATAAGGTAACCAGTACACTTCTATCAGTGTTTAGTACTTTGTGTGTACTTTGTATGAAAAAATGCATAACAATCTTGTGGAGTTTGTGCAATAATCAACCATTGAGTACTGAGTACTATTCACCCATACAGCTGTACAGCTATAAGCAGCTAAGTACCGATTATAGAACTGGGTGCTTTAAACTTTCAATGTTAACATTATTTGTATGTATATAAACTGTGATCTCAGAATTCAACACAATGGGTGGTAGAGGTAATGCACATTAAAAAAAAACATTCGGATCCTTTAACATGTAACGGGAGAGGAGAAAAATGCAGCGGACCAGACCGGGATTCCAACCCGGGCCCCCTGAATCTCCAGTCAGGTGCTCTACCAACTGAGCTACATGTATCTGGCCACCGGCGATCGAACCCGTCTGACCGCCACATTCCTCCCTCCTTAAACGTCTTCGGCCCCCGAAGACACCAACCCAGGCTCTTCCATGGAAGGTCTTTCACCTGTCACTTCCAGGGCATGGCACGACACCAAATGTAACGAGAGAGGAGAAAAATGCAGCTGACCAGACCGGGATTCGAACCTGGGCCCCTGAATCTCCAGTCAGGTGCTCTGCCGACTGAACTATCTGGCCACCGGCGATCGAACCCGTCTGACCGCCACATTCCTCCCTCCTTAAAGGTCTTCGGCCCCCGAAGACACCAACCCAGGCTCTTCCCTGAGTGAGGCACCATAGGTTTCCTCTCTGTCTGTC